TACATACATACATACATACATACATACATACATACATACATACATACGTGTGTAATATTACCATAACTGATGAGTAACTGGTCCACTTCAGTTCTTCCAGTTCGGAGAAACTCAACTGACTTTCTGACACTGAAGTCCTGAGCTCTTAATATACCCCCATGTGAACGGGCCCTCTGTATATTACCTAACGTTTTCTGTATCCTTGGCTAACAGGAACAATGACCACCCATCCCACAAAGCCCAACACCACCACCAGTCAAACCATCAATAAAGCCCCCCAGCACTGACCACATCCTCCACGGTGAAGTAGATAAGACCTGGCCTGGAGACAGCCTCTGTGCAGGGCTCCCTTTTCAGGAAAAACACACTTGCTGGCATATTTTTCCTCACAGGATGTGTCTTAATGTCATATAATGTGTGCCTGTTGTAATATTTCATTGCAGGGGGGGATGCTGCCAATTCTTTCAGTACCAGTTTTTTCTTTCTTTTTTTTTTTAAAAAGGGGCGTTTTTAAGTCAGTAAAGCTAGTAACGCTGGGAGAACTCATATTGTTGCTGTTTAAAAGGGATAAAACACAATAACTAAGCAAATTATTTGAAATTAAACATTTTATTAAGACACAACAAACATGTATGAGAATGTATGTATACATATATACATGTGGATATATATGTATATTTTTATTTTGAAAGAATGCTTTGGAATATCCAGCTTGATTTTTTTTACATGAAGTAGTTTATTACTAATTGAAATAAAATATAGGTTTGATTATGTTTTTTTTTTTAAACGGAGGCCCTTATTTATTTTCTTGGCTGCTTTCAGATTTGACCAGATCATCAACATCATCCATGAAACAAACAAAAATGTCCTCCGTTTCAAACACAGCTCATAAATATAAGACATCCAAGCCAATTATAATTAAGTTTGAATTTCCAATTTAAAAAATAATTAGGACATATTTACAAGCTTTGAAAAGATTTACAAGAAATGTACATGGTTGTTCCTTCATATAGAACCAGAGAAACCTAAATGAACATTTTTAGTGAGAATAAATTCATACAGAAAGGTAAAACTATATCACCCACAAATTAAAGATGAACCTATGTAAAGCAGAAAAATACTAAATGTGGTTCCATAGTTTAACAAATAAGACATTTCCAACTGAAAGATACTAAGAATTACAAGATAATTGGATGTGGTCTTCTGTCAGTGATCACTTGCTATTACTTCAATCTGGACCTTCTTTAAAAAATATATTTATCATTTAGAAATTACTTTCTGCTGATTGGGATTATGATGCACGTCATGCAGGTTAAATGGAAATTCAGATCACCTGAGAATTGCACCAGATCTTTTCGAAGTTGATAACAAAAGTGTAAAAAAAAACGTGTTCTCTCTCAGCTCAGAGTTCGGTGCAACTGTGTGAGGTGAACCTTGATGCCAGGTCGTAGTCTTCCTGCAGGTGGTAGCTTCCGTACCATCCCTGCCAGTCTGAGGATGCAGAGCTGCTGTAGTTTTGCTCGGCCGGGTTTTGCTGTTGGGTGTGGGCCTCCTCCTGAGCAGCGTGGAAGGGCAAGTGTGTGTGTGCCTTCACGGTGCCGAGCCTGCGCAGGATGTCTGGGTTGAACTGGTAGGTGAGTTTGCGGCGCACTTTAACAATCTCACCTGTGCGACTGTAGTTTCTCAGAGCTCTCGCCATCTTTTGATAGGTCATGGTCTTGCGGTTGCCCTTGCGCTGGCCCCAGCACTCAGCCAGCTTTTCTTTGTTTTTTGAGACAAAGTGGAAGGTGCCGCTGACGCTGTCCGTCCACTGGATTGAGTCGCCCATGTTGGGGTCATTCAGAGCTTCATGGAGATATTCATAAAGTCTGAGCTTCTTACGGCCTGAGGACATGGAGATCCATTCTGTTAAGCAATGAATGTTAAGCAAAGTCCAATTTGAATTTGAATTGTTTGGATAATCTTAAAATGATCACCTTTGCTGTTCCTCTGGGTTGACAGGACTGGGTAAAAAGGCAGTGCCTCGCTCTGCTCAGAGTGACTTGAGGAGACTTCAGGCATGACCTGAGGCCAGGACTGATGCTGAAAGACAAGCATTCAAAGTAAGCTCACTCTTCCTAATATGTTACACTGTAATAGTTCATTTTATGGAGTACTTACTGTGTCACCCCAGTCATACACGGGAGCTGGAACATCAGGCTGGTGTGTAACGAGGCAGCAGGAGATTTGACAATGCAGAGATGGCTGCTGGCTACCCAGAGTCTCACAATAGGTGTAATCTGAAAGAAAAAGATGATTTATTCAAAGAAAAACCACATGCCCTGTAAATTTACGAACATTGTTCGATCACCTAGAAAGCAGAGAAGTTATGAGAATCAAATTACTGTAGAGATACTCAATATGTACCTGAATCACAGAATGAATTGTGTGAATGCTGCTGAATCACATCAATTGCATCCTGAAAGTGTTGATTTATGTCGTGATCTAGGATCTGGAAAAGTTGTGAATTATAAAAAAAAATTAAAAATCACATTTTGGACATAGAATTCTGTAACATATAGCATTTTAAAGCTTTATTTTCTCTTCATTATTGACAATATTTAAAATGATTTTTCCAAAGTAATCCTGTAACTCACCATTTTATAAGTCTGAGTGTTTCCTTCAGTGGATGCCATGTCTGTTCTACAAGGTGAGCGGTGCAATACTGGTGCAGGTGCTCGATTTGCTCAGGTATATATATCCAGGTATATATATATCTAAATATTTGTGACGTAGACCTCCAATACCCCTCCATGGCTAAACCACACGAATTGGCTGAGACCACGGTCAATTTAAATGTGTTCACGTCAAACACTTCTTCTTTTCTGGAAGCATCAAATCAGGTCTGAGCATCAGTTGTCTCTCTAATGCAGCGGAGATCACAATCTATGAAAAACAAAAAACTTTTTTTTTTCAAACACCCAAGCCAAGAGTGCCACCAGTTCTTAGGCTGACCCAAGAATTTGCATACTGGGCACAAGTTACATATCTTATGAACAAATCAGCAGTGTATTCAGGGATGTGCTGTTATTTTCTTTTCAGAGAATTGAAATTTGACACGCTTGAACATTCCTAGTTGTTTCCTGGAAATACATCAATATTTTATTGATAGATAAAGAGAGAAATTCCTACAGATAGGTTAGTCTTTTTCCATTTTTCTACGGAGTATTTTTTCTTAGAAAGATGCAGTATTGTGGTTTATTGTAAATTCTTACTAGTTTTATTTTCTTTATGAAATTTAGTGTGTACCCTGACATTAATCTTCTGAGAGTTATCACCACAGAAGTCCCCGACAGTGTGCACCCCACTAGCTTTTAAGAGCTCACAACAGAGCTGATGCTAAAGATGGCATATAAAAACCATTTTCAAGTCTAACGGACCAGAATGCGATAAAAACAACTTCAGATGAATGTGATTGTAAAAGTTAATTTTTAATACTGCCACGGCCACTGTTAAAGTTTGTATGTGTCTCCTTTTTCCCCACAAAGCCAGCCCTCCTGTTTAAATAGCCACAGCCTTTTTGAGAAGTTCATTTATCACAGCGACGCAGTTTTAAATATCAACCGAATTGCTTCAGAAGTTCCCCTTTCAGCTTGCTCGAGGTTTGCTGACAGGCCCGGGCGCAGAACTGGAGTAAAGAATTGAGTTGCACAGATTATAGGAGAAATATTGATTACATCATCATCTTTGCTCAGATGACTCTAAGTTGTGTGTGATGCAATTTCTACAAACATTCCAGGCGATTTTGACTGTTTAAAGTGTTTTGTTTCAGCGGCAGGAAAGAAAAACACTTTCTCAGAAAGAGTTAT